GCAAGGAAGTAAGCACAAGATGCCGAACACCCTTAGCAGGATGCAGCGCACCGTTCATGCGACTCGCCGAATACCTCACGGCGCTTCGCGCCTGGTGATGTGAGAGCCTGGTCCAGTGAGAACCCGGCGTGCTACGTCCCGGCTTTGTAGGGATGCGAGGTCCATGGACGCACCCATGTTGCAAGTCTCCAAAAAAATCGCGTTTTAACTACGACAAGGCATCGATCATGCGGAGCCCCCACAGCCGCCCAATTCCTATGGAACAGGCCGTTATTCATCAAAAACTCCTGCTGTAGTGGCGATTCCAAATGTGGCCAACCTTCAAAAGTACCCTCAGGTATGTCTCTACAGCGTGGTGCCATACAAGATTTGGACGGGATCGTTTTTTGGGCGCGTCTAGAGCATTAAAGTCAAATTGCGGGGGAACTTGCCGGAGAACTCCAACAAAGTTGGAGGTAGACGTGTGGGGCGTGTTTGGTCGACATATCGGCGATAGAGCGCTTCACTGGAAGAACCCTCGTGGTAGTGATCCCAGATTTCGCCAACCCCTCAATGCTACCTATGCCTATGTTGTCTAGTCTACTCTGTCGAAGTCTCGAGCGAGTTCGTCAATTCCTTCGCCCGCGTCTAGCAGCGTGAAGTTTGGTGCTAAGAGCTGCGGAACGGGCTTGAAGCAGCAACACTTTCACTTTGATAGCGCACGGCATTTGCCAGGTTCAGAGCTAAACCAGGCCAGACCAAATGTCTGCGCGTGTAAAACACAACATGCTTGAGGTATCCTGCAGGTTTCATGGCACGTAGCTATCTGTGTGAGGACCACCAGCAGTGACAAAGGTGTGCACCAGATGGTGCGCTGGGCAACCCATCATGCGGGCGTACGCGGGGTACCATCGATTTTCGCGGAGCCCCTTCGTCATTTTTTTTGCTTTTTGCGGGACTTGTAACACAGGTGTACGGGATACACGACTATGAGTACACCCCCCCCACACCCCAACCCAAATCCCATCAAGAACGTTGTGTAGGAAACCGCCTCATGCGCCGCTTGAATGTAATGATTTTCTCCATGATCGCACGGTACGGAAGCCATCCGGTACGGAGGCCATCGATATCCGACGCCGGCTACCCTGCAGTAAATGAAGATGCATAAAATTCGTGTTCGCCCCCGCCCGTTCGTATACCCCTCTACACCGCCAAGGATTGTCGCGCCGGAGACGCACGTCTGCCAACGGGTGTGACATGCGTGACCTGCGTTATGTGTCACCGACCGGACGAATTGTTTCATTCTAGCAACCGCACTTTTCGAGAATCACCATCTTGCTAGAACAGAACAGAACTCCACGTGCTTCGCGTTATCCTTTGCATATTTGCTGACATCGTTGGTCGAATGATAGCAAACGTCACAACAACCTCAGCACCTCAGCCGAAGCCCATTGTTTTGAAAATTCGCACACCAGCAATTGATCCGTGTCAAATTTCTGGTCTGTACCTCACATGCCTGTGTCACGTTTTCGGATACTCTTCGTCGCGAAAGCGCGTCCTGTTCAGTACCCAACCACGCCAGGCACAGCGCCTCACACCATAAGCGTTTATAACGCTACACGGTGCCAAAGTTGTGGTGCCCGTGAACGTCGGAAGGAGGGAGTCCTGCCAACAAAGAAGGGGCAAACAAACATTGATACACTCCGGTACTCAGCCGAATGCGGTGGAGATGGAGAGGCGAAAGAATGAAAACGCCTGCAAAACAGACGATAGCACTGATACGCACCAGAAGTACCAAGAGCTGCTACCCACAATCGCCCACACCTTGTTCACGGCTTTATGAGAAATATAAGCGGGTCAGGAGAGGAAATCTGGAGCTCTGCCGCACGAAAAGCCCGCTCTTCCTTTCGACCAGCAAAACGGAAACCGCATGCAGCCACACCACCTCATCTGGCGAGCGGTGAGCCTCAACGAGACTCCCCATGCAGAGTCCGATTACTTACATATTAAGAAGGCCAAAATACAACTCACTGCTGTCCACCCCGCTATTAGGGCGGCTTTCTCTTTGGCCGGATGGGTGGTGTTGAGTAAACACCAGTTTGTTTTCGCTGGGAGGGTGGAACTCAGTATGAGAAGATGTGAAACCTCGCCAGCATCTGAGATGGTTAAGCTTAGGCCTTCTTGGGGGTGGAGGGCTTCTTCTTGGTGGTGGTCTTCTTAGCCGCGGGCTTCTTGGCGATGGTGGGCTTCTTCTTGGTGACGGTCTTCTTGGTGGTGGTGACCTTCTTGGCGGCGGGCTTCTTCGTCGTGGTCTTCTTCACAGCGGGCTTCTTGGCCACCTTCTTCGGCACCTTCTTCTTGACGACCTTTTTCACCACCTTCTTTTTCACGACCTTCTTGAGGGCGGGCTTCTTCGCCTCGGCGCTCAGCTTGTATGAGCTTTTCACCTAGTGGATGCGTTGCATAACGAAATAAACGCCGTGTTGTGGAACATGGTAACTACAAAAACTCGAAACCTGGCTGGTGTGGAGAACACCTTCATAACGGATGAAACTCCCCAACGTCTGTCGAGGACGAAACCCTCTTTTCCACAATGGCGTCGACAATAGATGTGAGGTGTCTGCTATTGGTTGCAAGAGACACGGGTTCAAAACACCCCTGCTCACCTTGTTTTCTTCCGAAGTACGGAAAAAGAAAAACGGTGGATGGGCCAAGAAACGATGCACTGTCTATCGAACTCGAAACTTCTGGCAATGCGTGGCGGACGTGGCGCACCCGCAACACGCACAGAACATTGTTGGAAAAAAGGTGGTTCTACTCGCCGCCAGCCGGTCGGGTTTCGGTTACCCCAAGAAGACTTCTCTTGCCTAGCAAACAAGAAGAAGCCTCGAAAAAGGGGGGGTAATGTGGAGAACACCTTCATAAAGGATAAAACTCCGTCTGTCGAGGACGAAACCCTCTTTTCCACACTGGCAGAAAAACAAAGATCACCAATTAGAGTTGAATCTGCTCTCACAGGCGTGACTCTTTTGGTCAAACCTATCTTAACGAACTTCGACGTCCACGTACATTTCTCCTGAAACAAGATGCCGGCGTGTAGTGCCTTGGCAGCGAGTGGAAAGAAAAAGGCCTGGGGAATGAGCTTATGTCGAGACCTCCGATTTGAAAAACTAAGAACCGCTGTTGTTTCGTTCGAACATGTGGTAAATTGTAGAAAAAAGGTCTGCGTCTCCACCAAGCCGGCGTTCCCAACATCGACACATTCATGCAACCTGACTTCCCGTCCATCCCGCACCAGCACACAGCACGGTGTGCGTGGGTGCAACACCAATTTTAGTAAGTGCCACAGACACACGTTCTAGCTGCATGCTGCGTACGGGTCCGTCACTCGCAGCACACAAAACATGCACCAATGGGAGCAAGAGGCAAGGCGTGTCTCACCTTGATGAACTTGCCAGTTTCAACTCCCTTCTTGAGGGCGCCGCGCATCTGGTGCGGCGTGAAGTTGAGGGCCGGGTAGGTGGCGGTGATACTCTTCTTGATGGCCTGGATGGAGGATCCGTTCCGCTCCTTGAGAGTCTTGATGGCATCGAATACCATCTGCGAGACGGCGAGTTAGGGCGCGAAACAAACGGCGTGCTGGCTCGTTGGTTCTGTTGTGGCAATGCTGCTTGTAGCGATCGGGGGTCAGAAGGGGGTTCCCCCCCCCCCCCAAGTTGCCTGTATCCTCGAAAGCAGAAGCTCCAACAGGATTCACGGCCACAGCAGGCGGCAAAAGGTGATGCGACGACCCTACCATGCATCTTGAATCTGCCCTAAAATACCAACCGTCGTCTACTGCTTGTACATGTAATCCGCCAACCACACAACAGCAAGTCACGAGCGTTCGCTCATCGGCGGGAACATCTACGCGATTGGTGCGCTGCTCACCACATTGTAAGTTGGTTTCGGGGACGACATGGCTGCTGTTTCGGTGCTGGACACGAAACGCGGTAGCTAGCAAGGGGATGCGGAAGAGCAGATCAAGGGAAGCAGGAACCAGATTCCACGTGCCGGTTTGAGCTGCAAATAAGAAGAGACGTCCAATCAGGGCGTGCGTCTGATACGCGGCGAAATCCAAACCGGCACTTTTCAAATTTGCTACATGACTCGCCGCGTTTTGTGGCGAGCTCTCCTGCGGGATGCGGGATGCCCTCCCCCACATTGTTCATTCCCATCTCTCTTTCTTATCTCAACCCTTCTGTTTTTCTCTCTCAACACCATGGCTCGCACGAAGCAGACCGCCCGTAAGTCCACCGGAGGCAAGGCCCCCCGCAAGCAGCTGGCTACCAAGGCCGCCCGCAAGTCCGCACCGGCCACCGGCGGTGTCAAGAAGCCCCACCGCTACAGGCCCGGCACCGTGGCCTTGCGCGAGATCCGTCGCTACCAGAAGTCCACCGAGCTGCTCATCCGCAAGCTCCCCTTCCAGCGCCTTGTGCGTGAGATCGCCCAGGACTTCAAGAGTGATCTCCGCTTCCAGGGATCGGCCGTGCTCGCTCTGCAGGAGGCTGCCGAGGCCTACCTTGTGGGCCTCTTCGAAGACACCAACTTGTGCGCGATCCACGCCAAGCGTGTGACCATCATGCCCAAGGACATCCAGCTGGCCCGCCGCATCCGCGGCGAGCGCTCTTAGGTCATCACAGCCTACAGGCTGCATCGCTGGAGGTCACTCTCTCCCTACCGAAGTGAGTCCTCCCCCGACAACCAACCCGGTGTTTATTCAACACCACCCTTTCAATCGAAGAAAAAAATAACAGCCGCGCTCCTATTTAGCTAGATAGAGCGGCTGCAGTGTAAGGAGTCAGATTGAGCCGCCATTTTTCTATGCACCGGGTATCGATCTCGCAAACGCTGTAGGCCACCGTTTAGAATAGTGAAACCAGGGACGAGTAGCTATGCTCAGCTATCGTGTGGAGTGAAGACGTGTGAATGCTGGCTGCGTGCGTTTGGTCCAAAAGGGAGTAGTTATTTTCAGATATAGAGCATGATGCGAAAAGAGAGAATCAGGCGTCGTACCTCAAGCCGGTATACATCCTCACACAGCGCCCCCCCAAACCACCGGTCAGAGCAGACCTTCCACAACGCGTCTCTGCAGCCCACACAGTCCAACATCGCCATCGAAAAAGCACGGCGCGTGCTTGTACGTAAACCGCGGTGGTATTCGAGGTGGTTTCATGGCACCGTTAGTAGGTGCAGGTGTGTTCTGGCGGCCCGACGGCCGACCTGCCCAGAGCTTCAACCGGTCCAACCCCTGTGTACTTGATGGCGTGGTCGGTTTGGACTGAGAACTATTGGTGATACAAGAACCTAAGATTGTGGGCTTTCTATAGCGCCCGCCATCACTCCCGTTGGAGGTCTGTGGATGTAGAACTAAGAAATTTGCAAGGTTAGGTTCTGTAGGGTACGGGTAATGTCTGTGGGGTATTGGATCTGTTACAGAACCGGAGGGTAATCTCTAGAGTTGTGAATCGGAACGATGTACACGATATATATCGTCCGATATATATCGATATCGGTATCGAAAATTCGTGCCGATGTTCCGACCGATGTTTTCTTAGGGGCTCCGTGAATCAAATTTAGGGTATGCGCAGCAGTACGGAGCCCCTGTACGCCACACACACACAGCACAGCAGCGCAGAAACAGCAGACAACAGCACCATGTCCAGAACCAACCGGGAAGTAGACACAGGGAGAGACCGAAGGAGGGTACTGCTGAGGATACGCGACAATACATCAATCTTAATCTTTTTTTTTTTTTTCTACATTCCGTGCGATGTTTGCAGCTGAAGTCAAGCCCTTTTTGATGCCGCATTTGGGCCCATTTTGACGGGAAATGAAAGGAAAATGCACCAAATTTTCTGCCTCCGGCGGCGCCTCCGGCGAGGCCCCCTCACCAGCCGGGGGGGGCCGATGGGGGGGCTCGCTTCGCTCGCCCCCATCACGGCTCGCTGCGCTCGCCC